AGAGTGAGCTGAGCTGAGCTGAGCCGGGCTGGGCGGGGCTGGGCTGACTGGCTCGCTCCCTGTGTCTGGCCTGTAACTTCGGCCCTCCTCCACCTCGACTGAACGGCCGCTCGGGGTCCTGTTGTGGCTGAGGGCGTTGGTTGGTTGCGGATAAACGTGGTTGTGTGAAACCGTGCAAGAGTAATTGCGGGAGGATCGAAATACGATGTGGGATCGATTGGGGCTTTTGTTTCCTTCAACTTTCTCTTCGACGCACTTTGGTTTGCTCCGGGGGTTGTTGGGGTTGGGGTTGGAGTTGGGAGGGAATGGCTGCTATAACATTGATTCATTCAAGATAATTACTGCTTGGAGGCGGGATTTGGATTCTTGGATTCTCTACCGAGTATTGGAAGGTTTCATCTCCGTCCGTCCAGCGTCTGGACACGATTAATTCCAGCCTGCATTCCAACCAGGAACGACATACGGAGCATGAAGCCATCACCTTCTGTCCTCTCTTTCGTCTTGTCCTGCAGAGTCACAATCACCTAGCGACGAAACTAAACAACAACAACAACAACAACAACAACAACAACAACAACAACAACAAATAAATAATAAATAATAAATAATAAATAATAAATAATAAATAAATAATAAATAATAAATAATAAATAATAAATAAATAATAAACAATAACCTTAATTATAGTATCTGCAGCTCATGTTATCGCCCAATATAACCCAAACTTGCCCAATTTTCACGGATAGTTCATCCACTCCCGTTTCAACTCTCCCCAATACAACACTGTAAACTCCGATCAGACAACCAAATCTCCGTTTAAAAATAGCCCGCCCCGCCGTGCTAGCCCGCGCTCTAACCCGGTTAAACGAGCCTGTTGCACGATTGACAGAGGAAAGGCACCCCTACCCAACTGCCTTGGTCGAGCGCTTCATTGGGTCCCCCGGTCAAGCCCCACAAAATCATGGAGTCCATCGGTCTTAAGGGGACGGGGCAGAGATGAAAAGTCAACATCATATATCAAATTGGGTTGGGGAATGAGCATCATCTTCCGTCGTTCTCTTTGTCGTAGGTGAGAGCAGCTGCTGATCCACGGATTCCAAGGGTGGTTCGTGCTAATGTCACTTCTCGTTTCTGGATGGTTCAACTCCTACTCTTTGAAACTATCCATGGGCAGGATGTTTTCGACCGCCTCAATTGATGATTGATGATTACTTCTCTGGCGGACAGTCGATGACATCCACTGCGTATATGTTAATTACTTAAGAGCTCGTTCGTTTGTCCTTGATTTTCTTCAGCATACTGGTGAGCAGACAGCTCCAGACGCCATGATGAAAAAAAAAAAAAAAAAAAAAAAAAAAAAAAAATGCACAGTTCAATCGTGCATCCAGCATGACACGCGGGAAGTGGAAGTTATAGTTGCTGACTGCTATTTTTAGAGCCTAATCTTTATTTCTTATGGTCATTTTTGACAGTCATGGATGATTGTTCGGAGCTTTATAATATAAAACTAACGTGATCATCCGCTGAAGATCGGAAAAGCTCCCATGAATAAACGCCCAGGTCTTCTACAAGCGATGCGCAGCATCTACCGATGGGAATCAGGCTAGACCGGATATTTATACCTCCTGTCGGGACGGACCTTGGAACTGGACCTAATTATGCCTCTTTCTTCCTGTCGCGGAGGTTATATGTATTTCCCGCGGGGATGAATGCGACACGACGCTCGACCGCTAACTATGGCGGACGCCGTTTATACGACTTTTAATTGATCCACATAGTTAGTTCAGCGTAACTACCGACAACTACTAACGGATGAGTCCTCACTCTCAATCAACTCACAATCAACTCACAACGCACAGATTGGCTCCCACGATACACTCCGGTTCTAGGAATGTCGTATGCATGCGGGGATATCAGATTCAAAATCCACCTGGACTCGATGGTTTACTACCGAGTCACACAAGCCACTTGCCACCAAGCGTGTTTTCATGTTCAACGTTGCGCAACCCGCGCCACACTTCTCCATCATCGCCAGCCCCGAGGTCGATGTCAACTGACGTCATAGTGGAACCAGACGGGTGATTGATATAGAAGATCGGCAGAAGAGGTGGGGTTATGATAACAAGAATGGTGGCGGGGAAGATCAAAGGCGGGAGAGTTGAACGATGCTGCTGCTGCTGCTGCTGCTGTTGTTGTATATAACTGGTCCACCCGTTTCTGCTTCTGCTTCTGCTTTTCTTGTGGCTCGTTTCGCAAATGACGACGACTCCTCGGTGTTAGAGCATCAAAGTTTGGAGAAGATATATATCCACCGCGCCTGCAATCTGGCCGTTTTGGAGTTCTCATTGGTCACTCTCCGATCTCACCGGGGAGGAAATTGAATTATCAAATGTGAATTTTTTTTTTTTTTTTTTTTTTTTTTGGATCGAGTCGGACATTTATAGTGCTATTGACTTGTGCGTCCATGTAAACTTACATATAACATAACCACCAATATCACACTTCTCCCCCGACTATAACCTCACCCTCCCGCTCCTCCACGTCACTCAGGACTCCGCCAAAACCCCTCCCGCGCTTGGCCAACCCCATCGCCGTATCAACCACCGCCCTCCTTTCCTCAGTCCAAAAAAATACGGTCGCCCCACATGTCCCGCAAAACGCCCTCCTCACACCTTCCGACGACACAGAATGGACTTCACTGTGCCAGGGCTCAAAATCGAGTCCTGTAGCTGGCTCCAACTGTGATAGCGGCACAAATGTCGGCAATCGTCGCATACGTCCAGAACAGCCATCCATTTGCGCGGATCGGTGGGGGTCAGATGAATTTGCTCAGCGTGGCGTCATCTGGGACTTTTTGTAGCTGGTGAAGATATGCTTGTTGATTTGGAAATTGGCTGGGCTGTGGTCGATGAGGATGGTGGATGGTGGACACGGTCTAACGACCCTATTCTTTCTCGTTCGTTCGGGTCTTGTTCCATGTCATCGGTGGTCCCTGGAGTACTTGAGGTCACCGATCTGGCACCCGCAGGTGCTGCAGAATAATCGCTCACTTAGCGCCGCACTGCTGTGTCTGTAGCTGGTCAGCGTGTGAGGGCCAGAGGGTGCGGTCCATTTGCGGGGTAATGCCCGCTGCGAGCGGGGGCGTGGAAGACGCATGGTGTGTCATGTGTGTAGCAGCAGATCGCGCAGTGGCAGATATTGCACGGTGAGTGGGAGGGAGGTGGTGGTGGTGGTGGGGAGGATAATGCTGTATTGTACGGCGTGGCAGAAACAGGACGCTGTAAGAGTGTTGGTGGGCGGTTGAGTTGCCCCCTCGTGCCGTACATTTACCTATTGCCAGTTCATGCTTGAGTTTCTTCCCCCCCCCCATACGTGAAGGTGGTTTTGCGGTGAGATAGTTCGGAAGATGCAATTCATCTTCTTTATATAGATCTGGACACGGCTGAATTTGCCTGAGTCTAGCCAAGCAGACACCTCTCCCCGTATAACTTCTTAATTGAGGTTGTTTAAGGAACCCCTTCAAACTGAACTCAGGTCACAGGGTGGATGGTTGGTAAAGGTCGCTAGCCATCGATGCCAGCATTTTGCGAATCGTGAAGCGGTAAAGACGGTGTCACGGGTAGGAGAAGCTGTGATAACTAGTTACTTGATGTGTCCATCTGAGCGTTGACAGGCCCCATCGGCACAACGACATGAATGAATATCTCCCAGTTCTCAAGACTGCCCCACCTGGGGTGCATGGAAGAGTCGGATTTTACTAAATAATCATGTGTCAAGAGTGCGCAGAATAAAATCCAGTGTCTAGCTGTGGGAAGACTTGACGACATCTGGGCAAAATAAAATGGATCAATTCTTTGAGTTGCTGGCAAACCGTTCTTGGTTGTTCACGTCAATGTTGAAGGATCATGATTGGGCTGAGAGGATGTGCCCTGGCGATGCGCCTTGGACTCTGCGCCACATATCAAGATGCATAAATATCCATCTTAGTGGTAGATTTTTATTTGTTTATTTATTTATTTATTTATTGGCTCTTGCAGCAGTTATATATTTCCCTTAGTCCAGTTCATATTTCGTAAGAGTTGTCGATGTTAAACCACAATGGAATTGGATGAGGCCAACGCATTTGGTGAAATATTCCCGAACCCACAAGACCTCAAGAGTCAGATCCTGGAGATTGTAGAAAATATCCATAATCGTTCTTCTGACTCGGCGACCCGCCCCAAATTCCTCGCTGTCAGGAAATATTTCGATTCCCCGCGCTGCGCATCATCATCCACCTCTCCCCCTTGCGGACGTGAAAAATGCGGTCGTTGCTCCACAGTCCTGGAAAATTTCACCTACAGCCATTCACAATCTGCTAGGCTCACTCTATCATTGGTCCAACCTGAGTATGGAGAGTATCTGGCGGTGTCATACTGCTGGTCGCAGAGAGAGTCGTTCCGGTCAACTGCCAAATCTGATTTCATGTCAGATTTGTGCCATAACATGCCGGTGATGATTGAGCAGCTGGATGGGACTGTCAGAGATTCAAGAGCACCATGCAGGATTCTTAGAAGAGCAATCAGGCACGCCCAGGATAACGGTCTCAAATACATATGGATTGATCAAGAATGCATCGAGCAGCATGATCCACTAGAGAAAGCAATAGCTATCGAAGGTATGGACCGCATGTATGCTCGAGCTCAGACGGTTCTTTCGTTGCTGGATTTACGCCTGCCGGACGAGCACGCTGCTGTCGTGATGAAGGCTTTGGAAAGACCGCCACGTTCTATAGATTTCACGAATGGTGTCATTCAATGGGTCTATCGGCCAAATGTAGAGGAGTTAATAAATGGAGCGGATGCATTGTGTCATATTCTGGAACTCGTCGCGGAGGACAGATGGTTTACGAGAGCCTGGATCAGACAAGAAAGGCTATGCGCGGAATCCAGGAGCGGCAGCAGTGAGCTGTGGACAATGTGTACGCCTGAGTTGTCGACAAGAATTCCCGGGGAGATGTGCATCGATACCGATATGTTCAACATGGCGATGCCGGTCGTTCTGGATGCGCTCGACAGCCGAGACAAGAGCCTTAAAACCAGACTCGAGGCGGCCTATCAAAGGTTCCGAGATGCAGACGCGTTTCCATTTGATGCGGTTCGGACTAAGGGAGGCAAAAGTCTCAATATGATGCAGGGAGTCAGTATACTTGAGAACAAAGGCTGTTTAATAGCTTCGGACAAGGTTGCGCTCGTGGGGAACTGCTGCGGCTGGTCCGGGAGGATTCACCAGGAATTGCTTAGACGCCCAGGCCTCAGTTACAGTGCTTGTCTGTGGGCTTTGGCGATTATGAATGGCGATGCTTCTATGTTCTGTCAGGATCCGAACTGTGCCTCAGCGGAACGCAGCCAGCGGATGATGTGGATGCCGACCAAGAGCACCTCACTGACTCAATTGGTCTGCCCCAAAGCAACACGAGACGTTAATATGAAAATTACGAAAGAGGGCCTTGAAACCCTGGGTTGGGTTTGGAAAGTAGGCAAGTTTGTGGACTTGAATTGCATGACCGATTTGTTGCCAACGTCGAAGCTCACAGATGCAAGAGACATGGTAGTTTTACTTAAGCACAAGACATTTTACTGGCAACTCCTCCGCAAACTGGACTCCATGCGCCTCCATTCCGCAGCCAATCTGCTATGGAACGCTCTGAAATATAGGGGCCCTTTTGGTATATATGGCAGGCATCTTGCTGAGGTCCCCAATATCTCCTTAGATCAGATCGCTGATCCAGACACTGGAAGGTATACTGTTACGTACCAACGTCTCGGCTTCAAAGATGAAGAGGAGTACATGAACAGTACAGATGCTATCGAGGATGACTATGCTTTCTATCATCGATTTTGCCCCTACGACGATGCGTTGGCAGGATACAGACATACCAACTGTGAACTCACAAACAAGGAAAACTACCATCTCCTCTTGGGGGACGGTGCGGTTATAGAATCGTTCTCCTGGATCATAGAATCAATCAAAAACACAGGTGGAATCTCGATCGGATATCTCACTCATGACAATGAAGAACAGATAGTACTCACAGATGCCTCCAGCAACCGCCCTTACATTTTTACCCAATTTCGCCCCGTTACCAAACACGTTCGTGGCGACCGCACCGAAAAGCGCCTCATTGAGTGGTCTCCCTTTGATATCTGGCGCGCAGATCGTGAAAATCATCGAGATGCTCCATTCTCTTGGTCCGCCTATGAACAGGACCATAGCCATAACAAAGGTGCCGATGGTGTAGAGACTGCCACCACCACCACCACCACCAATAGTAGAAGCACCAAGACAGTCGCAGTTACTGCTATGGAACCATGTAACGTCCTCTTCGACGTCCGAAACATCCGGTCCCAGAATCATACCCTGGATTGGCCGGAAGAGTTCTATAGGGACTCGTGGATATTGGATCCCTCGGACCGGAGTAATGTTGAACCATCAAGAACCAGTGCATCCCAAGAATTAGGTACAGACCAACTGTGGTTTGACGAATTACTACAGCGGGTAGCAGGTGTCAGTATTGACCAAGTAAAGGAGGAGCAGGAGGAATCGGAGGAGAAACCATGGGAGGAGTCCTGTGAGGCAGAGGAAGAGTGGGACGAAGAGAGGAGAGAGGGGAGAGTAGAGCAAAGGGAGGAAGAGAGCACAGTAGGAGAAGGGGATGCGACCATTCTGCCAGCCCGGAAGGGCCTGAAGCCGAAAGATTCTGGTCTTCTGCGGTTTCTGAAGTGCATTGGTATTAAAAGATGGCGGGGTAAGTTGTTGAGTTGACCTTTTTCCTTTTCTTCTTTTCGTTTCTCCATATCTTTTCCATAGATGTGAAGGAGAGAGTATGATATAAGATATCTCAGAATCTATTTAAGCGTTAACATTAGATTCCGGGTGTCCGCACCCGAGGGTGACAGGTAAATATGAATGGAAGAGCATTATAAACTGAATTTTTATAGTTCTAATATTCGATCCATCACAGCATCAACAGGTTATTGCTTATCCAAAGACAACAGATCTGTGCCAACTCCGCATAGCAAAATTCTATCTTTCAAAGTTCCACACTCATCCTCCTCTATCTCGTCGATCTGCTTTCTGAAGGTGACGATAGATGACATATCTGCTACCGCAGTGTAAACATCTTGTAGTAGAGATATTGCAATTTGATTTTTATCCATTTTCGTAGAATCTATTTCCACCCACCAGAGCTTGAGTCGTTGATCGTTTCCAGATGATACGACAAGAAACTCAAATACTGAACAGCAATGTCCATTCGGTGCTACCGGTCGACTTCGACGTTTCAGGATAGATATGGCAGTGACAGCAGATGCATGTGCTTGAGGCAATGAAACTGTGGAGAATGAATTCGTAGCGGTATCGGAGTTTATACCCCCACCGATACTCAGACGAGAAATCGAGATGGAATTATCGTCTCCACCAGCCACAATCAGATACTCTCCCTGCAATAGGGGCGATACCTCCATGGCTTTGATGCTACTTTGGTGCATGCAGTGCCGGTGTTGCCAGCTTATTGTATGCGGGGTGGAAGAAGGTTGGTTACGTGACAGCGGTTTCAGACAATTGCCATCGAGAAAAAATAAATCACCTAGGCTTTCGGATAGGTTCCAAGTTGCAATATGCCCGTCTGTAGACGCAGTAATCAATGAAAGCCCCGAACCAGATCTGCAAAATTTTATCCTAGTAAGGCAGTTTGTCGTGTATTCACCGTTGGCGAGAACGCTGAAAGTGCCTCCGTCATCGGTGGAGATGTAATGGGAAATCTTTTTTGGTTAGTTGACACCTATAAATCGCGGAAGTGACATGCTCACCTTTACTGTCGAGTTGGAATATGCTAAACAGAGAACGAAAGAGCCCACACTTTCTTCGCCGTTGACAACTTTCATCAAATCAAAGCTAGTGATCCGAAGGTCTGAATCTGCTGTTGCCTTGGGACATTCCCCCTCACATATGGTCCCAAGACCGAAGCCAGGAATGGGTCGAAGTCTCCAAACATAGAATTCTTCGGCCCCGGCACTGCTGAACAAAATCTTTCCGCATGGTGACCATTGAAGATGCTGGATACCTGCGTTGTGCTTTTTCAAATTTCGGAGACAACGGAATGCGCCAGTCGGCTTCGCCACATTCGCCTCATCAAGAATAGAGATACGAATCAGAGTATCCTCGCCCCCCGTAGCAATAATTCTATGCCTAGTTCCTTCAAACTCGAATGGAGCCCCTGAAACAGCTGCAACTTTAATTTCCCGCCCGTGGTTACCAAGCTTGATGCCATGGTGTAGTACAGCTTTTTTCCTAAATAGGTTAAAGCTAGATGCCTTAGTCCACGCGAAAATCTCGTGTTGTTCATCTGCATGATACGAGTTGTACGCCCAAATCCGATGAGCACCTCCGCATTCTATTGAGGCTCGTTCAGCTTGAATCGATTCATTCCATATGATAAAATCCGTGCTCTTAAACCCGAAGAGTATCAAGTCGCCTGTAGTTTTGTCAAAATAGGCACCATCAACATATGGTCCAAAAGGAGGAGCCATTCTGTGAATAGTTTGTAGGGTCAGGGGGGTATTCGCATTTCCAGTTCTGACAAGAGCATGAATACAATAGTAACCATCCCTCCCAGTGGTAAGAATTAAGTTTCCGCTGTCAATGGACTGTTGTAACTGAGTGATTGATGTGACAGTGTCTCTTGCGTGAATATTGAAGACAATGAGAACAGGAACAAGAGATTGAAATTTGGTAGGCCTTTCAAGGTCGAATATAGCTAAATGGCCGGTTTTTGACCCTAATATTAAATGGGACTTGTGTTCGACGAGGACGGCACTGGTTGTCATAAAGGTGGAGGGCAATTCCAGTGCAATTTTAGTAAAGTCCTGAGGTGAATTTTTGTCGCTGATCAAGAATAAATTTGAGCTTGGTATTTCCACAGATATTGTGACAAAGGCAACTGATGTGATGGGTCCCATGTTGCAACCATACTCAGGCTCTGAACTCGCAAATATTATACCTGTTATTTTCTTTTCAAGCTGGGTGAACGTAAGGAGATCTCTGTTGTCATGCCTATACCACCAAATAGTACCCTTCACGTCGCCTATAATCGCTATCCCTAGATCTGGGCGGCCAGCAAGAGCAAACTGAGATCCGGGGGTGTCCAAAGATGCAATAGTTTCCCAGGACACAGAAGTTTCCCCCTGATCTGCAGTATGAGCCTCTTCGGTTTCCGGTGCTGAAATAAAAGCCATATTCAATTTCCCGCGGGAAGATAGAGCGACAATGCAAGTCCCTGAAACAAATGCATACCGATGTAGCTTGTCACCCGATTTTAGTTTCTGCGTTGGAGTAGCGACTGGTGACCCAAGCGAAGCAGACTGACGTAGCGAAAGGTCATATATATCATATGTTTCTGTGTGTGTCCGGCAGTGGGATGGGGCTTCTCTGGTGTTAATGTCGAATGATATTATACTCCCGTCAGCACCTCCAGAATAAATAGTAGCAGTCGAATCCGATGATACATGCACTGCCATAGACCAAATATTCTTCCCCGCATGATAGGCATGGATGGATGTATTTTTAAGTATTGCATTTTTGTATGACACTTGGTGATCCTCCGTAGCGGAACTACGTCGCAAGTTCAACTCCCAAACCTGGCAGGTTGCATCCTCACCGCGAGACACGAGCTTGAACGAAGCTGTTTTCTCTGATATAGCCATATCTACAAAACAAGCGCTCCAAATTCGGGAAGCATGACCCCATGCTTTCGCAATGCAAGCCTTGGGATCCACCTCCAACTCATCTCGGAAAATATCTCCAAATCCGGTTGACCGAGTCGCTGGTCTAACAGACACATCTTCATTCGTCCCGTTCTCGAGATAAACACGGTCAGAAATATCCCAAATTCGTATTGTTCGGTCATCGCTACAGCTTGCCAAAAATCTTCGCGCTTGGACATCATTCGGCCATGTGATTTCTGGAGATATATCCACTCCAAAAATGGAACCTTCATGCCCAGTGAAAAGGTGATGAATAACGACAGAAGCGCTCTCAAAGGGAGACAACCTCGAATCTGTGGATAGGAGACATGACCAAACAACTATTTCCCCGAAGACTGTACCTGCAGCTACTAGAACTTGCTTTGGTGATAGCCATGAGACATCGGCAGAATATAGTACGGACTTTAGTCCTGTCCCTATCTCGTACAGATGAAGTTTTGCGTGATACTTTGCAAGTCCATTTTCGAAATTTAACCCAAATAGAACATTATGCGCTGTTATTAAGCATGCGCCACTCACTATAGCAGAATTTGGATCATCGTTTCCTGGTTGATGAAAACTTGCATCAAGAATCCAGTCAGGTGTAGCACACTCGGAACTCAGAAATGAGAGTGAGACGCTCTCAGGACGATCTACTTCTAAACTGCATAGTCGAAAAGACTGGCCACCCCAGACAAAAAAGGCATAGAAAGCGGGTTTTGGTGGTTTCAAACTGGAAAGCTGGATGCCATGGACATTATTTCTCTGAAATATTTGAACCCGATCCAGAAGTATGCCGGTTGCGTCATCAACCACTTGCAGATATGGCCCATGACCACTTATAATAAGTCGACCATTGGGGGCGTCGAGCACTCGAATCGCCGTTATTGGTAGACAGACGTCAAGATGCTGGAAAAAAACTGAGTACAAGAACCGAACCAAGCAAGCAATTTCATGAATGTTACGAACCTCAAATGCATATGACATCGATATTTCACAATGCAAATGCCAAATAATAAGTAGCAATACTTATTCCGAGTGGACTTAACACCATGGATGATGAATCCATTCTTCGTCTCGCGAGATATCAACAACACTGAACATCGAAATAACTTTCTGGGGGTTGAAATTGTCGATTAGTCAAATCCATCTAGACAAATCTGGATAAGCTAATCACATGACTGCGCCGTTCGTTGTTTAAAGATGGCGTTGCACAACGACAAACCATCTAATATCGTGTTCGACAAAGTCATTGAGACAACGGCCGCGTTCGCATTATCCTTCCCGCTACATGCGAAATGCGGATTATGTACCAGGCATCTATGTCACTTCACTTTGAACCAGTTCAGAGTCGGCGGTGCGCTCATCATGGGTGTTACTGGCCTCTGGACAGTGGTCAAGCCCTGCGCTAGACCTATCAAACTGGAAACACTGAATCGGAAGCGGCTCGCTGTTGACGCGTCAATATGGATCTACCAGTTTCTGAAAGCAGTGCGAGATAAGGAAGGAAATGCTCTTCGAAACGCTCATATTGTTGGCTTTTTCCGGCGAATATGCAAGTTGCTTTATTTCGGTATCAAACCAGTGTTCGTATTCGATGGAGGGGCGCCAACCCTGAAACGACAGACGATTACGGCTCGAAAAAAGAGGAGAGAGGGAAGGTCAGAAGATGCTGCCAGAACAGCTGGAAAACTTCTCGCTGTCCAAATGCAGAGAAAGGCTGAAGAAGAGGCAGAGAGGCAAAGAAGGCATTCGGGACCCAACAACACCGAGCCTGAAGAGGAGCTTCCAAATGATTTAGTTTATGTGGATGAGCTGAATATGACGCCTAAAGAGAGACGGAAAAACAGACAATTCCGCAAACAGGATGCTTATCACCTTCCCGAACTTGATATTTCTCTCGCTGAAATGGGTGCTCCAAACGATCCACGCATTATGTCGCAAGAAGAGCTCGAAGAATATGCCCGTCAATTCCATTCAGGGGAAGATGTCAACCTGTACGACTTTTCAAAGATTGACTTT